TCGTGTAAACCCAGCTAATATTTCAAATAGAGCAAAGAACAAAAAGCATTCGAATTTACTTCGTATTTCAATTCTTTCTCTCGCTGTTTAACTTAATTGCTTATCATAAAAGTGCGTTTACAAAAAGTTGTCGTATAAAGAGTAAATAGCGAAGTGGGAGTTTTTGCAAGGTGCCCATTTTCAGGGGTGCCGTGCCCAATACGCTTGCTGCATCTGTAAACCGGCCTTATATCACAGTGTTTAACAGTACAGTACCTATAAGCTTGATCAGTAATGATCGACGCAACTTGTTGAATCTTTTATCTCTTTGTATTACGCTTGTATATATTATATATAGATTAAATTGCTGTTGACTAGGCTTGACTTAAGAGAAATTGTCCTTGCGCTACGGTCTGACATTTTGAGCTTTGTTGATCGACGTCGCCAAATTTGACTGAGGGAAAATGAAATTTGTTCGAGTTAGCTAGACAGGAGTTCGGCATTCTACTATAATGTGCACGTGACACAGCCACCGTACTATCCTGCCCCCCCCCCCGCCCCAACTTTTAAACATGCTTCACGGTCCCTGCAATTTCTACTTAGCAAAACAAAGCATGTTGCAGATAAGACATTTGTATCAGTGTTAATTATTGGAACAAAAATTTGTACATAAACTTATAATGGCAAACTTATGATGGTATTTGAAATTAGTATGTTTGTTTTTCGTTTTCGCAATGTAGCTAAGTATATCTCTTTCAGCATAAAATTAACCTAGTCTAAATGGCCGTAATAAACTGACGACGGTATTGGCTATTAACGGGGTCGACGAGTAATATGGGCCTGTTCCACTCTATTCACTTCAAACTAAAAGCACTGTTGCACAGAACATGAATAATTCCGAGGCTATTACTGAAATTGAGACACATTGCCGCTCGTTCTTTTTCACTCTGGCTTCTCGAATCTCAAACAATTCTTCCCAACCGGTGTTTTCATTAAGTGTCAAATAAAATACGCCATATTTACAGCAATATAAGTAAAACTTACTGAACTTTAGGCATCATTTTCTCTTTGGCATACCATCTAAAATCTATTCAGTCACTTTAGTATTATTTTACAGATAAAATACTAAATATACTTTTTAAGTTCGTTTGCCGATCGAGAAACGTATCGAAAAATAAAAATATTGAATGTAGTCCGCAAGTGCCAAGTTGTATTTATACTCATTAATTTTGAGCGCTTGTTACGTAACATACAAAAAATTCTCCTCTTAAACTGTAGTTAATTTTGGATGAAGATTGGAATAGAAATTAGCAAACGTTTGCCTTGCTTTGTCGGCAGAGTAGACAAGATGGGTAATTAGCACAATTTATGCATGATATACAACTAAACCGATCAGCATAGTTAATTATAATAAGGTAAGGTAAGGTAAGGTAAGGTATAAGGTAAGGTAAGGTAAGGTAAGGTAAGGTAAGGTAAGGTAAGGTAAGGTAAGGTAAGGTAAGGTAAGGTAAGGTAAGGTAAGGTAAGGTAAGGTAAGGTAAGGTAACTATGTAAGTTAAGCGACTTTATTTAATGAGGATGACACATGACAGTATTTAAGATACTGATAACCCAGTGGCCCTCGGTTAAGATTAAAAGTTACATATTTTCCAATCTTAATACTATATTAACTATGCATATAATAATTACATGTATTTACAAGTCTAATTCAACTAAGTCTAATTAAAGGGATACGGCAATATATATTTTTTATTATTTCATTTTAAAGAACTTTTAAAATTATATGTTAATCTCCTTTACAGTTCTCTGTAATATATCGTATAAGATATCTAGTATACTCTGATTTTTATTTTTCGCGATGTAAGGCTCTTAAGGCGGCGATCTCATTAGCATTAAAAGCAAGTTTTCTTCTTTTTGGTTACTTTATATGCACGATATACCTGTTTGAGCTATAGGGCGTATTTCGGACACATTGTTTCACATCGTCAAATTTTTAATGAGTTCTACATCATATATTTTGGGAGTAATTAAATTTCAACTTCCTGTTGAATGAAGCAAACAAGTGCTGAAAACTATACCAATCAACACTCACTTTAAACTTAAAAGCACTGTTACACCAAGAACATGAATAATTCCAATGCTGATTAAAAATTGATAAACACTGCTGGAGGTGTTTTTTTTTATTCTGGCTTCTCGAACAATTCTTTGCGAGAGTGCCTTGATTAAGTGTCAATTAACTTAAAATGCACCAACTCTATAATTTGTAATACTGTTGCCTATAAGTTAAACAGTCCCTATATCACAGTGTTTAACATGCAGTACAGTATACCTATCAACAGTAGGCCTATAAGCTAGATCAGTAAAGATCGACGCAACATGTTGAATCTTGTCCGAACAGAAATCCGAGCTTCCTGCCTGCCCTTGCTCTATGTTTTAACATTTTTGAGCTTTGCTGATCCAGGTCTCAAAATTACAGTTCGTGTTTATCGGGCAAATTTGACCAAGGGAAAATGAAATTTGTTCGAATTAGCGGGGAGTTCGAGTTGAGCGAGTTCCAGTTAGCGGGGGTTCTATTGTAATCCAATAACATCTAAAATTTTAATAGCCCATTTACTTCATTCACTTGCACTTGACAGTTTATAAAACGTTTTGCAAGACAGCTGAAAATCATTGTGGACAAGTTTTACGCACTAACACAGTATTGCAGTGAAAATGAGATTCCTGATCCTCCAAAACATGCAGTGGTTCTTTTTGAATGTCTTGCTCGTGGTTTTAACAACTAGATCAAATGCGTCGCAACAGAACTCACTTTGTCGACAAGGCATTTTCAAAGCAAGCAAAGGTAAAAAATCATTAAAAATCATATTGAGTGTTCTATACAGAATTATAGTTCCTTGTGTTATCACGTTTAGCAATGTGGCATTACAGTGAACATCCCAAAGTTTTAAAAACAAACTCTTTTATCATATAGCAATACACACGTAAACACCCACAAGTTGTAACAAACCTGCAGCAGACTCAGTGTACAGCAATGCTGTTCCAACAACTTGTCAACAGGATGGATGTTATCGCACTGCTTGTTAACAAGTTGTCAACGGCTCGTTGATAACTTTCTACAAAGTTGTTAAGCTCAATAGACTTGTTCTACAAGTTGTTCCAACAACTTGTTATCGTCCAGGGGCCGGTTGTATAAAAAAGTGATTAAAGTTAACTATAGTTAAGTGGAAACGTCATCCAATAAGAAGCGCGTATTTGAGAGTTAATCACTATTTAACTACAAAATAGTGATTAAAAAAGTGATTAAGAATTTTATACAACTGGCCCCTGCAATTTAACAATTCCCAACAAGTTGTTAGTGACGACCTTGTAGCAACTTGATAAAATAACAGATTAACAGCGTTGTTAAAACCCGTTGACTGGCCTACTATACATGCATTAATGAAGCCTGTTACGAATGCGAAGTTGCGAACACATCTATCTTGTTAACAAGTTGTGAGATTTTTACGCGTGTATGACGGCTTTATATCTGTTCTTTTTATTTTCGTAGTTTTCGGCTTACTTCTTTGTATTTTAAATTACTATAATGTTTGTTTTTCGTTTTCGTAATGCCGGTATATATCTCTTTCAGCATAAAATGCTAATATATATTGTACACATACTGCATGCTATATTATTTTTCATCATCATAGCTCATTATGTTTTGCGACCATACTAACTAATATTTATTTAATATTAATTTATCGATTTTGCAGTGTCTGTGACTCTATATAGCCAAGGACTCGGTTTTACGATGGCCGTTTAAAATTTGCCATTAAAAAATGTTGGCACTAATGTTGAAATATCAGTAAAATGGAGTTGGGCAAGTTAAACAACGAGAGAGGATTGAAATACACAGTAAATCCGAATGTTTTTCGTTTAAATTACTTTTGCTCTATTTGAAATATGTTGGGTATATATATGTGGTATAAAATTCCGTTTATGCGGATGCCTAAAACGAATGAACACGGAGATGTGTTTCTGCGCGTGCGTATATATGAAAAGTGTTGGTACCACAATCATAAGGCAATCAAACAGCATTCAAAACAGACAACACACCACGCACGATTCCCTCGGCAACTATGATATTTCAAAGTAATAGCATGGCATTACGGTCGATTAGTGATGAAATGTCCCTCAAGCCTCGAAAGGTTTAGTAAACTTTTACTAAACCTCTCTCGGCTTTCGGGTACATTTAATCACTAATCGTCCTGACTGCTATGCCATTACCTATAATAATTTAACTTTTTTAAATTTAACTAACGTGAATTGTAACCCACGTAACTCCTCAGGGAGATCATTCCAGCATTTAGCAGCGCGTTCATTCCACAATGTCTCTTACCAGATCTCCTTCATCTATTCTTACTACGTGTCCGTACAATCTCAACCTTGCTTCTCTCATATCTTCTCTGCAATGTCTACTACCTCACATCTTCTTCTGATCTCTTCATTCAATAATGTCTTTGAAAGATACTCTTCTAATCGTACATCTTAATTTTTCAGAACCAATGAGTGTTAATGTTGCAAAGCAAGTTTTCGTCGATTCAGTTTTGGAATGTGCGCATCTCTGCCAAGCCGTAGAAACATGTGAGGCGTTCAAACACAGAGACGTTCATGACGATGTCAACTGCCAAATAACCGAAGGTGAATCTGAAGTTTCAACAATGTTGGAAAATGATGGAAAGGAGAAGTGGACACTATATACTTTAGAAACAATTGAATCGGTACGAAATTATCAAATTAGTTGTCACTTATAGTATTCCAAGGAATTGCGTATTGCTTTACATTTTTTATTTTGTATACATATGTTAGAAGCATGCATCCAATTTTACTCTACCAAACTCTAAAGCTTTTGTCTGGGTTCTACAGTAGGAACCAACTGCATCATTTCAAATAAAAAGTCATAAATACATCAAAACTTCCAACATCACATCAATTCAAATACTAAGAATAAGAATTCAAGTATTTTGTTTTTCCATTCCCAGCCTGACTGTGCGAAGAAGAATTTGTGCAATGGGGCTGGACGATGCTTGGCTGACAGCTGTGAGCCTGACGGATTCAAATGTGAATGTTCTGATATTTATTATGGAAAATATTGTCAATATGAAAAATTTTGTAAGTACTATAACTTTATTCTTGTTTATTTCCTCCATTATTTTCTCACTCTGATAACTGCAGGTTGACCACAATCTGCTGCACGATAGTGTTTAGTGAAACCTAGCAATACGATCAATTTTCCACTATTTTAGATGACTACGACATCAACTTCCCAAACACCACAGCTAACAACTTCATAGAGCTGGGAAAAATAGATATGGATTTCAATGAGTTCACGTTCACCGCATGGATTAAGTTTAATCCAGGATTTCTTAAATACCCTCTGGTCTCATACATCGCTAAAAACTCGACAGAAATGTTCGCGCTTGCGTTTCGCTCAGATGATACAAGCTGGAATACAAGCGGGACGACAATCGCCTCATTTTCTGGAAATTTGTTTGGTCCAGATGTTGAGTAAGTTTTTCTAAAAAAAAATTATAAACCGGGGAGGGGATGATGAAGATCATGCCTCTGGAGTTGGATTACAAATGACGGTTAAAACTCGGTTTTACTCGTTCGAAACTGTATTACATTCATACGAAAGTAAATACAAGACAATATTTCCATACAATCATTTATTTCAAACATTGGCCGTCTTCCTGACGTCGCCGTCTTACATGTGTAAACTCCTTAATGTTTGATTGCAGAACACAGCGAAGATTGAAAGATTAGTTCTTGGCGAGGGGTAACCTAGGTGAGGGGGGAATCTGAAGGACCCTGAGAACTCTTCAAGTACAGAAGAGAACCAAGACAGGGTTCTCAGGCACATCAAGTCAGACCAGCAGTCAAGTTGCGCACCTGCTAGCAAGCTCGACTCAGGAAAACGATTCTAATATTACTTTTCCAACTGGTTTTTACAGTACACATACCATACCTATAAACGATGGTTACTGGCACCATGTGGGGTTCGCATGGTCTGATGTTACTGGAGAGTGGATTTTACTTATTGATGGTGTTCTTTGGGCGACCAAAGTTTCCACAAAAGGGAAAATATCATCAGGTGGTGTGCTCACCATCGGGAAAATCCTTGACAATGGAGTAGTTTACCATTTAGTTGGAAATGTAAGTCGTGTGAATCTATGGAGCACAGCGAAGACGGGTGGTGAGATTGAAGAGATAGCTAAAAGACCTGGGTCAAGAGATGGTGATTTGATCACTTGGTTTATGGTGAAGGATTTAATATCTGATCTAAGAATTATTCGTCCATCTACGGCAGCTTTTTCAGGTTGGTTTTAATGAAAATAATTCGCGAGGTCTGTCCTTACTAGTCCATTATTACTACAGAATGAAAACCAGAATGTAGAAGAACTCGAGGCCAAGTTATATTGTAACAACTACAGCAGGATCTGAATCCTAACAAAAAGGTGAAAGTCACATTCTCTAACAGGGCCTTTTTTAACATACAAGTGCCCTTTTTTAACATACAAGGCAAATGCTCCCTCAGTCCCCCCTTGTGCCCCCCCCCCTCGAAATCACATTTTGCCCCCCAAGGTTTCCTAAATTTATACCAACAAAACAGCGAAGAATAACAAATAAATAAACGGAAAGTAAGTTTTATGCTTTATCGTTTGTCCTTGTTTAACAAAATCAATTTAAATTGTTAAGTTTTTCTACCACTAAGTAATAATAAATTATTGTTAATAATTTTTTATTTTTTGGATGCTCAGAATGCGGGAAAGAGCATTTCCAGGTTTCAAGTTTGAAAAATTTTCTGGAGATTATGCCCCCATACATGTGGCCTTCGGTCATTGGTATCCCTCTCTAATAAGTATAATGATAAATCTAGTACAGTTAATATTCTTTTTTACTTTTTGTGCATTTTTCCCTTCTTTTATTTCAAATACAAGTATAGTTAGCATAAATTTTAGAGCAAATTTGGATGCTCAGAATGCAGGAAATGGCATTTTCGTGCTTCAAATTTCAAAAATTTTCGGGGGGAGCACACCCCCAGACCCCCCATTCATGCGTGCATGGTCTGTTGGTCACACACGTGGTCCTCAGCTATTGCTATCTCCCTGTAATATGTCATCTTACAGAAAGGTCCCTTTTCAAAAAATGCTCCCCCCCCCATGGGAAAATCCTTAAAAAAGGCCCTGTTCTCTAAATACTGCAACACTAATACAATCTTCAACATTTAAATCAATTTAGGTAATGGAACGAACTACGATATCATTCTACCACTCGAGAATGTGAATTATCCAGGACCATACAAAACCACGAGCTTTTTATCAAGCTGTTTTTGGTGCAGGAGCTGCGTTGGAAATACATTGTTTGTCTATGATACCCTGAACACATTTGTATTTAGCACCGGTTCAAAATTCATGGCTTCCACAATTAATGGTTTTTCTAGCACAAGGTGTGTGGAATTATTTGCAAAGGATCTTAGGTGAGCCCCTGGCTCGGCTGACTTGAGCAACCAGACCCCTATTATTATATATTATTAATATTTTTGTCTCCCAGGACTGTTGTAACTGGTTTCGGACGATGGCATTTTTTTTGTATACAATGGAACGGAATTGCGGGAACAGTCACTTATTTTTATGACGGCTACGCAGTTGATAGCAAGATACAAAATGAGACTTTGGAAACACAACTACTTCCAGGAAAGAATTTTAGCATTGGTTTGGGCGATGCAACAGGAAAGCTGACACAGCTAAATATTTGGGATTATGAAATAGCAGCGGGTAATGTTATAGCTATGTCATCTGGAGGATTCAATGTACATGGAAGTGTGATGTCTTGGCGAAGCTTGGCGAAGTATGTCCCCAATGGAAGCATGAACTGGAATAGTGAAATCCATCTGCCAGGTAAGAGGATCTTAATAAGTTCGTTGGACCTCCGCTTATTGTCAGCTAAATAAAATTCCAATCAGTTAACAGGAGCCACGCTGCGCCCCAGCTCTGGGCAAAATGGAATACGTTGTAGCCAAAACTTTGTAGCAAAAGCATTTGCTCGAAAGTGCCCACACTAGTAGCCGGCCTGAATTTTTATCCTTAAGAAGGAGTGTTTCCCAACAAAGAAACTCTTTTTGTTCCCCAAGTGAGATTTTTGTTGCAGAAACAACATTTTGCCGTTTGCTCCGCTTTACGAATCATGGCTGGGAAACAATATTCACTTGTTTATCCATCTTTTGGAAATTAACATGGCTGGTAATAACAGTGTTTCTTGTTTATCTATCTTCGGGAAACATGGCTGGGACTAACAATGTTTATTGGTTTGCCTAACGCTTTAGACTTTCCCTGATTAAGCCACTAGAATGGAGTGTGACAAAGTTCGGAACATTCTTACGGCCTTATGATGATGATGATGATGATGATGATAACTTTATTAGAATGTCGATCTTATAGCCGAGCCCAAGTACGCCTATAGCACTAGTACGCGTAGCGCATGCCTTGAGCCAAGCATTATCCAGATTACATTGTTCTTTTATGCAGGGTTTACTGTTCTGGCGAAGAGAACAAAATGGTGCAACGACAAAATTCCCGATTCTCCATGTTCAGGGCGACTTCTAGCAAGACTGGGAGGCCATAAAACTCGAGAAAGATTGGAGTGGCGTTGTTATTGTCCAGAAGCACTCCTCGGCGGGAAATACACTTACAACTTTTCTGAAATTTCGCGCCTTCACAGCAAACATAGCCAGCTTACTGCTATCAACTGAACAACAATTACTAGTAACTTTGATGGTTTCTGGATTTGGTATAAAGCTTTTAATGCACCTGAACATTTAATATAATAACATTAACTAAAAGTAAATCTATCTGCGGTCTGTCCAAAATGGGAGAGTCAGTGCTAGTGGATTACTTAGCTAGAATAGCAACTATATAACTTTTGGAGGATTGGTAATTAAACTTGATATAAAGCCTTTATTGAACCTGAAGACGTTTTTTTCGGACTACAAATATCATGTAGCAAATGATCGTCAACCTGCAGTTAACAAAGTGAGAAAATAATATGTGGTTGTTCAAGTGAGCTCCATAAAAGGCTGTCGTTTGCAAACCTTAAACTTTGAACCTTAAATTCTGAGCGTGCAAAGCATAATGGGAGCATCATTTAATCAGCTTAGAAATCATATATGGGGCCCATTTCTTACAGACATGGTAAATATCTCCTTGTGCGAATAATTCATTCACAAAAGGTGCAATATTCGACTATTAAGCTTGAAACTCGTGCTCCCATTAAGCTTTGCGCGCTTAGAGTTTAAGCTTTCAGGTTTAGAGTTGAAGGTTTGCAAAGGATAACTTTTCTTGGATTAGCTGTATTTCTGAAGCAAGACTGACTTCAGTCATTCGATCTATTAGAAAAATGAAGCCAGGATGGCGAAGGATGGCGCGCATTGACGTCCAATATCTATGAAGGTCGTGAACAGCTTTTATACCATTTCCCACCACCGGCCTAACTCCAGATTTTTCTAACGGACCGTGTCGCTAACCAAGTTATCAGTTCATAAAATCATAGTGATATTCTTTAAATCGATGTCAAAATACGAAATTTCGGCACACTCCTTGCCAAGATGGCACAAATTGAAGGAGCTATTCGACGTCAGTTCCAGCCCATTTCTATAGTAGAGTTCTCGCGCTCCAGATAGATAAGGAGCTCGCTGGGTAGTCCTCCGCTCGAAAGCTCAGAAGAAATAAAATTTGGAGCTATGGAAAGACGTGAACTGCATTAAGGCCTATATCTACACAATACGATATTAGTGGTATATTCTTATTCTGGTGTATGTAAACGAATAAATGCGCATAAAGAGGTCACGTCCCAAATTTCGCCTTGAATATCGGAATACGAATTCAGGCGTCAGCAGTCATTTTCATGCGCCAGAATGACAATCCTATAACGTGTATTATAAAAACGTTATAATTTATAAACTTGCGTTCTTATACTTCCTATACATTGCAAAAAGCGTGACTGCTATATTATCATGCCGATTACGCAAACTTGCATTTTTCTTACTAAACATCATCTGTCTTTTTAAAGAATAGAGCGTTTTCATCAAGACGAATCACAAGCGTAGCTCAGTTGACAAATTACAAGCGTAGCTCAGTTGGCAGAGCATTGGGCTAGTATTCCGAAGGCCGTAGGTTCGATTCCCACCGTGGTCAGGCATATTTTTCAAGCTCGCCCGGTGTGGATATACACTCAGAGTAACATCACAAACATCATATTCACCTGAGTAAACAACACCAACACAGAAAAATATCACAAGCCATGTGCGTGAAGTGAAATGTGCTTGCTCTGAATGATTGCGTCACGCATGATAAATACATGAAACAACAATTTGACATGAAGCCTACTTTGGAGGCCAAGGTCACCGTTATATTATGTGCGACATTGGTAATTTTCAAAGAAAAGTAGTATATGTCGCTGGGAGAAACTGCGCGACATTAGGCGAAATTTGGCAACATTAAGCGAATAGTCTGTTAGTTGTCTGAATAATATTGCCTCATAAAATACACCGACAATTTTAAGGGAACGCATTAATAACTTAACTTCCAATAGACTTCTAGCCCCCTGCTCAGCAACCAAATATTGTTTTATTTCCCCATATTTCACACGCTGTCTTATTGCTAGGGAAGGGACGGGATATTTTAGGTAAGATATTTAGAATCATTCTGCAACATCAGAGACGCATCATAATTTTATCAACAACTTTTGCCCAAACTTGTACGCCATATTGAAATAATTTTGTAATAAGGCGATATAAAAAAAATAATTAAATTTTCAATTGATCAACTTTCATTTGTCGGGGAGTTAGTTAGTGCGGACCTTCCCAACGGGCCTTCGCCCGATCCTTGTATTTTTCAGGCAGTAGCATTTCATTTCCTATCAAAGGAAGTTGGCACTATATACGGCCACTACATACCTACACTGGCACAAACCGTCAAAAAATGAAGGTCGTCAGGTTTAGGCTGGGATTACACTATACCGGATTGATTTTCATACCGGATCAATTTTCACACCGAAGCCAAAATCAATGGTGTTTTCACTATGCCGCTTCGCTCTGTCGCCAGCTCGTATCTTTTATCGTTGCCACGGAAACAAATAATAAGTTTTGACCATTTTGGACGTTTTCTCGACAGTACTTGTGAATTATAACTTTGTTTACAAAGCTTGACCGCCCGACGTTGCTTTGTCTCGCTCTTATCGAAAATTGACGAGTATTTCATTAAATTTTGCCCTTTTGAAAGCAAGAAGTCAATGTTATTACCGCTATCTTTATTTGTCTTCGCTAGAAATAATAAATAATTGTAAAGCGAAGCAAACAACAGCTATAAAATATTTAGAAGCGAGTAAATAAAACGACAATGTTAAAATATACTTGCCGAAACCTATTTATAGTACCGGAGCGTACCGGATTGCTTGATTACACTTGGTTTTATCCGGTACAGTACGTACCGGATTACTTTTCATATCACCTCCAAAGCGAAGCGATTTTCGCGCCGCAGCACGTACCGGATTACAGTGGCGTAGTGTAAACAAGAGGCCAATCCGGTACAGAAATCGCGTCGCTTCGATGCAATCCGGTATAGTGTAATCGGGGCCTTAGATTAGGGTTAGGGTTCAAATGAAGTCATTATTGCATAGCTCAGATAATCGTCCTTGTGGGTATCGCCCGTATTTCTCAATTTAGAAATCCTCGCTGTTATATCCACTAAGATAATGTGACTCAGTTGCAATTATTTTTTAATCGTCAATTTACATTACCTACTGCTGAGCAACGACAATGCATGTCACAGATAAGCCATTTGTATCAATAGTGTTAATTATTGAATGAAAAATGTGTACCCAAACTTATAATGGCAGTTGAATAGTTCGATTTAATACGGCAACGTCGAAGCACAAATCGCCATTTTATATATTACATGCAAAACGTTGGGAGATTTTACAATAAATATTATTAAATAAAGGCATTTTGAAAATAAAAAACAAAATTGAGGACGCTAAACTGATAATCTAAATATTAATATTAGGTGGCCTAATGAAATATAGCTGCGAAAACGTATACGCCCATTTCGTTTCGGTCATATTATTTATGATAGATGTTTACGTGAGACTAAAAATAACTCAGAACGGTCTCAAGTCATTCCGCCTGCTGGACCGAACCGACTGACTTCACTCAGACTGGCATGAATTCAGAACAGGATGAATGTAAACACAAATACATTTCAGACCGTCTCGGCTGTTACCTTGACTCCATTGGAACAACACATGCTAACAAAAGCCATTTAAAAAGGAAATTAAATTGCCTCCCAAGGGAAATAAATTGAAAATTCACTTGTGATTTTCGTACCGGTCATTGTAAACATGTTGACAATTTCAATTTTCTTCCCGGTTTGACTTCGCCCCGGTCTCATGTAATGGGGCCTTACAAACAAATACAAGTATATGTATGACTTGCGCTCAAGCTAAGTACAATGTATACCCGCTGGGCAGAAAGTGAAAACCGACCTGCTACGTATACTTAAATGCTCAAAATGCAATCAAACATTTTAGAAGGAACGCCTTTTACGAAAAGCATACATGAGAGTATCCAACAGAGAACAGGCAACAGAAATGCTGCTGAAACACTTCTTAGCAGGTTCTTTTATTGTAAAAATCATTTATATTAAATACTTTTATTCATGAAATAGCCGAATTGTTTTGTGAATGTCGTTTATTTTTTCCTCGTCGCTTATAATAATAACAAAATACCAAATGTCTGTTCCCTCAGGGACAGTTTGTTTTGCTTTCCCTCGAATCTCCATGTGAAACCCTCGAGTGTACTTTTACCTTACCTGTATTAAAATTCGCGTCGTACCCATTTTCGCTCAGCTTTAAATTCGGGCGATTTAATTTCGCGCACCTTTTAACGCATTTATATAATGAGTATTTTTTCTCATCAACAAATGCTTCAATTTTTGTCAAAACTTAATCAAAAAGTGATTATGGGTACTGTACTGTACAATACTGTTAAACATTGTAATAGGGACTGACTTGGGTAAAAGTAGTACAAATTATAGAATTGGTGCCTTTTAATTGACACTTAATGATAACACTCGTCGCAAAGACTTGATCCAGAAACCAGAATAAAAAAGGCACCAGCAGTGTTAGTGTCTCAATTTTTAATCAGCATTGGAATTATTCATGTTCTCGGTGTAACAGCGCTTTTAAGTTGTGTGTTGATTATTATATAGTTTCCAGAATTAAATTTTTTCATTAAAAACGATGTTGAAATTTAATTACTCCCAAAATATATGATGTAGAACTCATTAAAAATTTGACGGTGTGAAACAATGTGCCAGAAATACGCCCTGGCAGAAACATATATGTATATCGTGGATATATAAAGCAACCAAAAACAGGAAAATAAGCTTTTAATGCGAATGAGATCGCCGGCTAACATCCGCACGAAAAACAAAAATCAGAGTATATTAGATATCTTGTACGATATATATAGTGTGTGTATAGATATATATATATATATATATATATATATATATATATATATATATATATATATATATATATATATATATATATATATATATATATATATCAGAGAACTGATTTTTCAATTTTGAGAATCAATCGTGCAATTATAACATGTACTGCATCTATATGTTTGTATTAAAATTCGCTATTGTATTGTTATAGTTCGAGTACTTCGACCTAGCAGGGAGATCGAGTTAGCGGGTTTTCTACTCAAATCTAATAATATATAAAATTTTAATAGCCCATTTACTTCATTCACTTGTACCTGACAGTTTATAAGACGTTTTGCAAGACAGCTGAAAAACATTGTGGACAAGTTTTGCGCACTAACACAGTATCACAGCGAAAATGAGATTCCTGATCTTCAAAAACAAGGACCATGCTATATTACTATACCAATACCATATTAACTAATATTAATTTAATTAATATTAATTTATCGATTTTGCACCAAAGAGTCGGTTGTATGATGGCCGTTCAAAATTTACCATTAAAAAATGTTGCACAAATGTTTAAATATCAGTAAAATGGAAGGAAGTTAAACAACGAGAGAAGATTGAAATACGTGTACGATTTCAATCTTGAGAGAAAATTGAAATACTCTTACTCACAAACATGCAGCTTCCTACGTCGGACCACACTTATTCCTTAAGATCTGAAAGAATAGTCAGACTAACAATCAATCGAACAGACCGATTTCAGAACTTTGTAACTGTCAAATTTAGGGGGAAATGTACAACTAAAAAGTTAATCATTGAGATAATCTAATTGTCGCGGCTATTTTTCGCGGGTCGCGGGTATTTTTCGCGGGTCGCGGGTATTTTTCGCGGGTCGCGGGTTTTTTTCGCGGTTTTTTTTCGCGGGTCGCATAATTTTTATTCCCGGGTCTAATTTCATGACATCTGTTTTGTCCGGGAGGCGAAATCGTTTAAGGATAAATTGATGAATCCAGGTATCGACTAAATTTTGATCCAGACAGGAAGAACAAAATCCATGACTACAGCTAGAAAGAGCATCTTAAAGTTAGTGAAATTACACAGTACCGGTCCTAGTAATAAATTTATGCCACAATATAATAGTCCCTAAATGTTCGTTCAAAAGGTTTAGTGTGAAATATGATAGTGTGATGGCCTCGTCGGTTGTTGGCACAATGTATGCCTGTGAAAAAATGTTATAGTAGATGAAACTGCAAGAGGAGGAATGAGGGTCTTCCCGAAATGCAACGCGCGAATCAGTGCGCTCATTATTATTCAAGCTATTTATTCTCAATACGCCGTTCGATTAAAAACTGTTGAAATATATTGCGATTTTTGCTGTGAAGATCTTGTTTTCTCAAAGGTATGTTTTGATAACCTTTTTGTTTAGTAATTTAATAAAAGAAGTTTTGAATAATTTTGTATATATATCGCATTTTACTTATGTTAAATTCCCATTGTATTTATGCATGTTTTGGGTGCTGAAAAAGTGGCATTGAAATATTCTGGAGTAAATTGTACTTTTTTACAAGGAAACTAAAATAAAATTACATCAGTGAATTCAGGAATGTTTACTCCTTATATTGATACTTTAAAACATGAATTTACTCCATAAAACCGAAGAGTTATCGCGGTTTGAAAATGAGCTATTTTTGCTAATTATCGAATACAGCAAAAATAGCCCATTTTCAAACCGCGATAACTCTTCGGTTTTATGGAGTAAATTCATGTTTTAAAGTATCAAAATAAAGAGTAAACATTCTTGAATTCACTGATGTAATTTTATTTTAGTTTCCTTGTAAAAAAGTACAATTTACTCCAGAATATTTCAAGGCCACTTTTCCAACACCCAAAATATGCATAAATACAATGGGAATTTAACATAAGTGAAATGCGATATATATACAAAATTATTCAAAACTTCCTTTATTAAATTACTAAACATAAAGGTTATCAAAACATACCTTTGAGAAAACGAGATCTTCACAGCAAAAATCGCAATATATTTCAACAATTTTTAATCGAACGGCGTGTTGAGAATAAATAGCTTGTATAATAATGAGCCGCACTGATTCGCGCGTTGCATTTCGGGAAGACCCTCATTCCTCCTCTGGCCTAGTGGATTTCCCAACAACAAGGCCAAAACTGCCCTGAAACTGCCCTGATTGCGAAATGCCCAATTGTTGCGTTCTCAAACAGAATTATTTGCAACTTAACACCGAATTTAAACCGATACAGGTAAAATAAACTCATTTATAGTATAAACTTACTATTTTTATTTGTATACACGTCTAGAAAATCGGGTTTTTTATCATAAAGTTTGAAGCAACACTATTTATATATGTTGACAAGGTGTAGCGAAACGGCACAAAATAATAATTCTTTTATTCGCAATACAATCTACTGTTTTGCTTTGAATAACTATATTTGCGAATTGGGAATGAGGATTTTGAAATTATTGTTCAAATATTACAGATATACCATTTGTAAACAATGTACGTTTTTATATACAGTACTGTACGGGCTAATAATATATGTATCCGTTTTATTTTGTATATTTTACAAACACAAGACTGCTTCTTGCCAAAATTGAGAAAATATATATTAATGTAGTTGTGTATAAAACAAAATTTCATGAAAGATTCTACTTTTGGTATATATTTTGACTCATTTTGTGCTTTCGCTACACCTTGTCAACATATTAAATATTAAATAGTGTTGCTTCGAACTTTATGATAAAAAAAACGATTTTCTAGACGTGATACAAATAAAAATAGTAAGTTTATACTATAAATGAGTTTATTTTACCTGTATCGGTTTAAATTCGCCGTTAAGTTGCAAATAATTCTGTTCGAGAACGCAATAATTGGGCATTTCGCAACCAGGGCAGTTTCAGGGCAGTTTTGGCCTTGTTGTTGGGAAATCCACTAGGCCTTCTAGGCTTGCTTCCTCCGCCCCGCCCCCAAATCACCTAGTCCCAGTCTTTTCATGTGAAAAAGCGCTGAATATTAAAAATATATAAATAAGACTAGAAGGCCTAGGTCTAGGCTGATCCAAGGGGATAGGCATGAATATGACTCAAGGGCTTGTGCCCCCATGAAAGTACTGAATATACTAAATATAATTACAGTTTGTGACATGAATTCAGGTATAAAGCACCACTCACATAAGAACCTGTTTAGGCTAACTTGGAAAAAATAGTACAACAATATGGACTGGCTTGTGTTTCAGATTGCTTTGTGTAGGAGGCAATCTCAGCATGAGCTCCACCTTTGAATTTACTATATGAGTAAATTCTTAAACACGTCCGAATTTATCATTATGATAAATTCGCAGCAAATTTTGAATTTATCATAATAATAAATTCGCGGCACCTAACACTAACCCTAACCCCAACCCTAACCACTAACCCCTAACCCCTAACCCTAACCCCTAACCCCTAACCCCAACCCTAACCCCTAACCCCTAACCACTAACCCCTAACCCTCATTTTTTCAACTTTTTAAATTTTTTTAACTTTTTTAAAAATCTAACTTTTTAAATTGTTTTCTTTTCAAAACTCTTTTAAAACTTTTTAAAACTTTTTTAAACACTATTTTTTTAGAAACCTTGTGCAATGATTGTGGTAAGCTTTTAGTCACAGTTAGGGTGAAAAAATATACTAGTAATTATTTATTGAGTTTGTTTACATAAAAAAAGTTTTTGTAATCAAAATGTTTTATAAACTAAATGTCCTAGGCGGTGTTTATATGGAGGCGAGCCAGCCCGGTTACATGAGCTAATTTAATTTAATTTTTAAACGTCAATTTTTAAACCTTACACCAAACTGGTGTGTTTAGTTAATCCAACTACGAATCAAATTTTATAATCGCTGACATTTTAACAGCTATCAGTACCGAAACATTCTTACTTTTGCTGAATTAACGTCGGCAAAAATTTGCCGGCCTGGGAGGATGATATGTCAGCATTTAGATCGGAATTTAGGTCGGCATTTAGGTCGGCATTTAGGTCGGCATTTAGGTCGGCATTGCCGAATGCGGTTTCGAGGGCTGTAAGCTGCTTTGATTAAAATATACTTTGATCAGAGAAACTTTTTATGTGTTTCTATTAAGTGAGCACAAGTTGTCCATGAGAAGACAGTCAAAGACAGTAAAGCACGGTCAAGTAGATTAATTTATATCATTTATCACTCTGACAATAAACACTATATAAATAGTCATCCAAAACATGTCGACTCCAAATTGCTCATTAACACTCTTTCATTGACAACTCCTACTCACGAGTATCATATCTTTAGGCCTTAATTATATGGGTTTCAGTTTGTAAATAAAAGAGATAGAACAGTTCGTATGTAACGATAGTGTATAATTAAAATTTAAAATAGTAAATAAAGAGAATTTTATAGTCATTAAAACCTCGATTGATTGGCTTCAACAAGCGATTTCACTGAAGTATCCACAGTGAAGGGAGTGAATAGCAGCTATGTTGGGTGAAATGTTCAATCCTTTTTGGATTCTTTTCTTGAAAACCTTTAGTAGAAGATTGAGGATGTAGGTATATCATGGAGAAACGCAAACAGAAATGACACGCTCTCCATCGAGGAAAACAATAAAATAGATGCACTTTGATACACTTTGGAAGCATCCCTGCTAGCGTGGTATTCTTTCCTACTCGTCATGTTGCCTCAAAAACTCGTTATTTGAAGGATTGTCGCTCAAAAAAGTTCAATATAGCTTCACTCCTTCGCTTGCGAAAAAAACAACGCGCGTTTTATTGCCAGAAATGAGACTGAACCGAGCATAAACCGAGATGCCCAACTTCCGGTGGAGTCCCCCGGCAAAAACAATCACAGACATGCGCAGAAGGGACTGTAACCTACCTTTAATATATATTTTCTCAATTTTGGCAAGAAGCAGCCTTGTGCTTGAAAAATATACAAACACATATACAATTATTAAATAGAACGGATACATATATTATTAGCCCGTACAGTGTATAAAACGTACATTGTTTACAAATGGTATATCCATAATATTTGAACAATAATGTCAAAATCATCATCCCCGATTCGCAAATATAGTTATTCACAGCAAAACAGTAGATCGTCTTGCGAATAAAAGAATAATTTCGATAAATTAGTGTACAAAATTGTTGCAACTTTAAAGGCCTTTAAAGATGTTTAATACAATTTAACGCGACATTTATAAACTAATAATAGGTTAGTTCAGTCATAAAATGTTTTTTTAGTTAATGTGATTATTTATTTATTTAGTTATCAGCTTTATTGGACAAATATAGTAGAAACATTTACAAGTTTAAGTCCAAAGGAGATAGCGCAAACGGGACAACGAGACCCATGCTAGACGCACCCCCTCCAAAAAAAGAAGAAAAAAACCAAACCAACCTAATTCACTATATACAAATATATATTACATAACATGCATATTAAGAACGGTGGCAGGGGCAGTCTCTTGTGAGCGACCAAGTGCATGCCATATCAACATTAAAAGTACTGTTGACCTCAGGGACCATTTTACCAAAATCTGCTAGGCTCTCTCGCTGAAGCGTTCCGCACAGCACACCCAGGCATAAAACTTTTAAGACTTAATTAAATATGTCAAAGCAGCGAATAGAGAGAGAGAGCCTGGAACTAGGCTGATATTATAGGTAATGCCTGAACAATAAGCGAATGTAAACAGTGTGATTTAGATCTAAATGCTTTTTGCCAGTCGTACAGCTGTAGCTAAGGTAGTTTTATAGGCCTAGGCTTGTTTACTTGAAGAAATAAACGCTTTGACAAGCTCTTTGGTTATTTATAGAACTACATGACTCGACGTTGATTACATAACATAAATTACGCGGTTATTCGGGTCAAATAGGGGTTACAAAAAATTCGTCAAAAATTCAATTCTAAGTTGCCCCAAAATTTTATTTGATCAATAGCAAGCGAAAACATACTTCTTTGACCTGGTTATGAACTTTTGTCTGAATCGATGTAACAATAAAGATATTTGCTGCCTAATATGGCATATAATAAAGAGGTTCAAAAATAAAAAAACATTAAGAAAATCTGTAAAATATTCACTTTTAACAGAAATGTCTCTAAATTTCGTCTGCTACTCAATTAATAACTCTAATTTATAAAATGAAATCATATTTTGTGAAATATTGCCATTATCGTGCAAAATAGAGCGATTTTGATAGTGCCGTAAAATGACCTCTAAAAGCGAAAGTGGCCTGGGAAAACCAATTTCGACGTCTCTCTCCTTCAATATTTATCCGATCGAAATAAAACTTTCACAACATTAATACTTCAAATAGGCCTACATTCCGACAAAGTTTGAAAGATTTTGAATTTTCTCATTTTACACGTGTTACCTGACTATTACAGACAACCGCTCTTAAAACCGCAAGCAATTCGCAACAAGACAAAACCATTATCATGAAGAGATAGAGATAGATGGTTTATTGAACTTTAGAACTTACAGCCTCAGAAAATTTCACAGCTGAATTACGCTAAGTTTAACAGAATGATATAAGATCTTAAGAGCGACAGTCCGTAAAATTCGAGCAAACAGTGGCAATAGATGAAAAATAGATTTCTTTCATATTTTGCTTAAATTTAGGTAATACCTAGTTATAAATGGTGTTTGGATTAGATATTCAATATTTGGTCGATAAACGTACAAATATCAGAAATCAAGAATTTGTCTTTGGAAGGCTATAATTAGCCGCAGACAACGCCGTTGCCATGGTCAATTTCATCACTTCGCGACGGATTCAAAACTGCCCGTAGATAGTTTTGATGGTTTAATGACTATAATTCAAGTATTAAAGAACACTGTTATCAATATAGAATGGTTCAGGAGGCTTTAACTGGCCTGACAGACGTTGTTGAAATTGACTATTTTTAGTCAAATTTTAGAATTGAATTTTGTGGCTGGATTTGAAGGGGAAATTTACCATGTGCGATAATAGTGAATTTGTTTATATTTCGAATTCATCCACGGAATGGTATAGCATGAGTACATGTTATATATAAAAACTAGTTTGGGTTATTGCCTTGGAGCCTCACACGAGACTTTTAAAAAAGCTCATTTTGGTGACTTCCAGTGGAATGTAACACAATTAAATCATTAGGCCTATACGTCTTTACAAAGTCACGATGCTCAAATTGTTCAAAACGTTGAATTTTGTGTTTCCATATCAATGTATATGCTTTGTATACTTTATAAAGAAACGTTTAGAAGGACTTGCAAGATATTTTAGTGATAGACCTACATACAACAAAAGCACAACAAATCATCATATTATATTACTAGACTGTAACGTTGCTATTTATAGCAATTTGCGTTTAATATGTCTGTTTGTAAGCTTTTGAAGTCTTATAATTTCTCATATTTGTTTAATGCTTGCTCTGCATACAGTAGGTAACCTAATAGAATTAAAGCTAGGTAAATACAATAAAAGTGCATGAGTTGAACATGTACATGTTTACACTTTACGTTAGCCTTTTGCTGGACTCTCCTGTTAAAAAACTAACAAACAGGTGACCCTCTTCTACATATGCTACAAATAAGAAAAAGATATAATATGTACATAAGCAAAATAAAAACTGTCAAAAACTCAAAATGGAAGCGACAAGGAGCGACTTCGATGTTTTGCCTTTCCTATGAAAATGCAAGCGGAATAATGAACGTGACAACCTAAAAACTAGAAATAATTATATAGTCTACATATGCAAGAAGTAGTTTATGCAAGAAAATAAACCAAATGTGACTGTCGATAAATTTATTGTATAAAACGTTCTTTAACTGAACCATACAAAGATACTTTTCGTAGGTTCATAAGTTTGGTATTCGACAATTCTTCAAGAAATGTTCACACGCCTCCTGGTCTTAATTTAAACGGTAATTTTTAATTTAAATTCTATTTCTTTAAATTTTTAATGTTAGAAAACTTTTTATTAATATCTAAACTACATGTCTAATTGTATTTTTTTGTTTATATCAAATACCTTAAATAACTAGAAATACATGCATGCAACAACCCCTCGCCTATACTTTCCAAACATTGTTTCAACATGAAGTATTCGTAATTACGCCAACACTGAACCACACTGAACGCACGCTCGCGTTGCACGTCATGTTTGTCATGGCAACACAATATTGTTTTTTTAATTTTTTGTTTTCAGCGACGCCGGAACGATGTGAAGGCAAGGGGGGGGGGCAGATTTTCGTGAAAGGGCACTTTTGAATTGATATATACTAACAGGTGTTTGCAAAACATCGGGAGTTGAACTTCGCCTAATCATGTTTTCTATTTATTGGATGATAGGGGTGTGAGGGGGTTCTCCGCCAGGCGAATGTGCTATTCTTGAAGTTCGATTTCTGCATTTCGTGCGTTTTCTGAAGCAAATTCGTAAAAGAATTGCACTAACATTTCTGACAATTTGCTATTTCGCCAAGGCAATCCTTTAAATTGAAAGGGCACCTTAGCCCCCCCTGCCCCTCCTGGTAAAGGGCAACGGGGGCGGCTGCCCGTCCTGCCCCCCCCCCCCAGTTCCGGCGTCCCTGATGAAATTTGAACAGTTTTAAATACAGAACTATCAATTTCTAAAATATATAAAGTAGGTATATAATATTTTGGTTTCTATGGGCTTTATTTTAATGTAAAATTCAAAACGAAACTCTACGTGAAACGTTTTTAAATATGAATTGAAATTAACTGCTTTTTGCCGATATTTATAAACTTCTCAACTCGACATTCAACTTATTACTCGCACTTTGAAATGAAACAAATTTAATTCGTACAGGACGCTAATGAAAATAATTTGCTTTCCTTTTTATCATGAACTTCTACAAAAGTTAATTTAACTAAGAGACTTTCGCAAACAATGCATAGGAAAGACTTGAACATCAAGAAACGATTTCGAAGCTTCCTTACATGTATTTTTTTATACTTTTGCCTTCTTCACTCCTGGCAAACAACCATATTCTGAGATCAGTGATGACCACCCACTCAACACCGTTGGTGAGCGCCCGCGATAATTGATGAACTTTAGACTCCGCTAATGCTTTCGTTTCCCCGGGTGTAAATCAGGGTCGTGGTGGACGGAATTATAACAAGATATGTAGATATTAACAAGGGAGTGCCACAGGGAACCGTCATTGGCCCGTTTTTATTTTCTCTTATGGTTGATGACATTAAACCCAAACAACCTGAAACTAATGTATTGGTTAAATTTGCTGATGACATGACAGTTTGTGCACCAGTAAAGTCAAATAGTGATTCTGCAACAATGGAAGTGAGGAACATCGAGAACTGGGCAAGGAGAAACAGAATGACTCTAAATCTAACAAAAACATGGGAGATGCTTCTGAGTGGCGGAACGTCTAAGCCGCCACCAGCGCCTATAGAAGGTATTGAACGCAAGGAATGGCTAAAACTGCCAGGTGTTACTTTCGAGGACGATGTGTGCTGCTGGGACCTGCATGTTAAAGGCTTGTTGTCGAAGGCCGGAAGCCGAATGTATATTTTAAGAGTATGTAGAAAGTATGGATATCGGAAGGAACATCTCAGCTATCTTTTTGACTCAATAATACTATCGTTGTTTTTATACGATATTGAAATTTGGGGCTCAGCTCTTCAAAAGAAATATTTAGAACGCATTGACAAGTTTTTTAAGCGAGCGTATCGATATGGTTATGTACTGAAAGAGTATAAAATGTCTGAGCTGATTGAAACGAGAGACAGAATTCTATTCAATAGGATTTTAGATAATCCAGAACATATTTTATATGAACTACTGCCTGAAAAAAAGACAAAAAAATTTAAGAGAACGTGATCATCCTTTCATCCTACCTCAAGTCAGAACTGAAAGATTTAAGCGTTCCTTTGTAAATAGGTGTCTGTTTGATTATTTTTAGTTTTTGTTGCATGCGTATAAATTATCTTAAACTATTACATTAATATTGTAAATATAGTAAATAGTATATTTTAAAATTGTAACTAAAATCATGTAAAGACACACGTCTGTTGTGTCTAAGGATTACCAAAATAAAGATTTTTATTATTATTATTATTGATGGTGTAAATAGCCACCCGTTCCGCACGTTGTAACCAATAATTTATTGGCGTTGTAATGCCATTGTATGCAATAAAGTATTGGGTTGTAACTGAAAACAAAACCACAAGCATTAGACAAACGTTTTAGTTATAAATGTAATTGGCTTAGCTTGGTCGATGGTGGGGAGGCGGTAGGGTACTTTCTCCAGGGGGGTAGCGGGACGCCGGCTTTAGGGTTGGGGGTTAGGGTGTGGGGTTGGGGGTTAAGGTGTGGGGTTAGGGGTTAGGAGGTGGGGTTAGGGGTTAGGAGGTGGGGTTAGGAGGTGGGGTTAGAGGTTAAGGTTAGGATTAGGGTTTGGATTAATTGTAGACCCATTACAACCCAATACTTTATTGCATACAATGGCATTACAACGCCAATAAATTATTGGTAACAATGTGCGGAACGGCTGAAATGAAAGGATGGGGTAAAAACTGATCTAAATATAAATTATTCAAACCTAGAACGCTTTCAAACAGGCAAACATCTGGTTGCTATGGGCGTTGCTAAGTGTAAATTTATCGAATTTGCTAAATTTTCAGGGTTTTTAGGTATTTTTGAACAGTAAAATGATACAAATATGATTAAGTAGGGTTTAAAATTTGTATTTCTTCCATTTTTGAAAAATGGCAAATTTCACTCAAAACACCACTTTCAGTTGTGTAAGACCACCATAATCATTGATCGACAGCTTGATTGTGAACAAACACTGCGGATGCATATTTTGGGAAGTGTTTCTTTAGTTTTGCATTCAAAAGAGCTTTACAAATTAGTTTCGACAGCGGTCGACCGTGATGTAAATGTCAAAGTTTCGAGCGATGTAGGGTAGAGAAAGGTGTCTGAAGCCTTCATTCCAGAGAGAGCAAATCCTGTTCGTAAACATTCACATCAACTCACTCCTGGCACAAAATTATTAGCTACAAAATCATCAAGAAAAAAAAACAACGAACACGCTCGTGAAACTAGAGACGCGGCTAACAGACAGCAATCCAATGAAGACACTACAGCCACTCTATATCTCTAGAGCTTCATGAACAAAGTTTGTAAACACATTTTTTGTTCATCCTTAATTAAATGTGAAATCGTGGCCTTTAACGTGGCCTCTAACTAATCATTTTGTGCCAGGAGTGAATTGATGTGAATGCTTACGAACAGGACTTGTTCTCTCTGGAATGAAGGCTTCAGACACCATTCTCTTGCCTACATCGTTCGAAACTTTGATATTTACACCACGGTCGACCGCTGTCGAAACTAATTTGTACGTATCCATAGGATTTCGCAGCTTTCTCGCACACGGACTGCAAACTACTTGTGACGACGATGAGGACTGCTCTAGCACTATTCCCACAAACTTCAATTTTCTTTAGCCGACGTCCATACATTATTTCGATTTGAAAATGCAAATAACGTAAAATCTACTATATTATTTCAATTTAACAAGTAAATTTGCAAACGTAAATAATCTGTGTGATTGGCCAATTTTGACATCTGTTCAAAGTGGGCGTTGGCCGCAGGCTAAGTGGGAAAATAGTACAGTAGATCTCACCGTGCTCCTTTCCTCGAAGAGCCGCTACGCAGGTAGCCTACGGTCAAAATAATAAACGCTTGCCGAAATGCCATTGTGAAAAGCTATATCTTTAAAACAAGTGAAGGAACGCGGAATCGGGGAACCGAACAAGGAATAGAATGAGGAACGAGAAAAGCAGGAACGGAAAATGCCGGAATCTGTAAAACCAGGAACGAGAATATGTTGAAATTTCTAAGTAATACTAATTTACCTGGGTTTTAACTTTTGCGTAAGTTGTGTCTGAATTGAACTTTCAAGCGGCGCGCAGGGAATTCGATAAGACAAGATGTAAACATGCAGAATTACAGCCTGGATATATATATATATATATCTTCAACATTTTGGTGTTTTAAGGCTCAGGCTAGTATATTGCTTATACACAGGTCAGACACTTTCTGTAAACGTCGAACACATTGTATTTTTGCCGTCATTGATATTAATTTTTAAATGTTGAATAGATTACCTTAATTTCCACCAATCATAATTTTCCGCGCGTCCACAAAATTACCTTACCCTAGCTAAAGCCGGTTTTCCACTAGGTGGAATTTTACTGCTCGTGGAACGGAATTTTTATTTGTCTTTTCTAATTAGTTCCCACCCGAGAGCCCAAGCTGAGATGAAAAATTCCGCTCCGTCTAGTGGGAAACTGGCTTAAAGCCGTCGTGCTGGCTAGACTTGATATATTGTACAAGTATCACGACAGGGAAACGAAGCAAATACAAAGAATCTTTGGACTGTGTTTCATATTTTAAGATTACAACATTTTGACTGGTATGTATATAAAAAACGCATTAATAATTCACGAGGAAATGGCAAAGGAAATCACTGCCCGGTGGTTTTATACGTGACAAATATATGTTAATTTACATAAACTTTAGCTTTGAATTTCTCGGCATAGACAAGGTTTATTTTTAAACTTCGCCAATTAACTCATCAGATGCGTTTCAATGCTTTATCAGATATAAAACACTCGTGCTGAGCAGTCATATTTTATATCTGATAAAGAACTCCTAGGCGTGCTTTAATTAAAATAGTACTTAAAAGTTATATTCAGTAGATTCCGAATACAATCTATGGATTCAGTCGGTGTATGTGGCATGTCATTAAGAGGAGATTTTTTACAAACTCGCGTAATTTTTGTCAAAAACGCTCAAAACTTAGTAACCAGGCTTTTGCTACTAAGGGCCAAAAACCCGGGAGCTTATACCCGGGTTACGGCGAACTGCAAGTGAGCGATACTTCAAAAACGTTTTGGCGGGAAAAAATATAACAGCAAAAAGAAAGCATTAAAGACAAAAAAGTTTAAGTGAAAAGGTTAGTACAATTATTCTTTATTCCATATTAAATTCTGGTTCAAAATTCTATGCTAAAAGTGTAATTTTTTGTGAATTGCGACAGGTCAAAACGTACGCTATGCCTATGGCCTTTTAAATAACCTTGCCCTTGGCCTTAATAATGTTGCCAATAACTGTTAAAATTGAAATAAAATATACAGAAAAACGCATTTAAATACGCTTTATAATATATCGCAGAACGACTGCATTGAATAAAAGTAAAATGGACTTAAAATACACTCTTTTTGTGATATTTTCCCCGTTTTCAACAGCTATATTCCTAGGTAAACAAAATGTTTTGTTTGTTTTAAAAAAACCCTTTTCAATACTAGTACTACACTGTCTGACAGAGCTTTTTAAAAACAATATTCATAGACCAAATTGGCATTCAAGTGAAGATGGAAGGCGAAGTTCCTTCAACTTCAACTGGCAGTGTTATAGAAATAAAGGTAGTGTAAGTTTATGTTTCCTAGGTATTAGTATAATTAGAAATTTATTTCCTTGCTAGTATGGGATACCCGGTGTTTAATAATACAACATTAAACCGGGCAAAAACGTCTCTACACGATTATAAATCCTTCATGAAGTTGTAAATCTATAAGCATAAAACTGGGCCTGAAGTAATTTTCAATTTGGATTCGCGAGTTACCTCCAGCATTTTTAAACAAGAATTCATAGTTTACTGGTACACATGTCGTAGCCTAGCTATCTAAATAAATACGTGTCTATGGCTAGACCCAGAGGGCTAGACCATGCACTTTCATTATGATTTTTATACTAGGCAAACATATATTCATAAATTATCAATACACACAAAAGTGAGCACAACACGCCAAAACATCATGAAAGTTTTGACAGGTATTTCCGTATACTTTATACAACAGAATAAAAGTTTGAAGGCGCTGTATGGGAAAAATAAAGCATCAGCAAAAAAGATTCAAGCAGCGAAAATGTTTGGAAAAAGCCATTCGAACATAAAGTGTATTGCCAAGGCTCTACAAGTGGAAATTCCAACAGCCGAAGTATACCTAATTGATGCCTATTGTGCTGGAGCTCCAATGGTATCAATAGAAAAGCTATCTAGTGAATTGAACATTCACAGTCATCTTACCAATACGATTGCTCGTCTAATTGAACAGGGTTTACCGACTCTTCGGCAGATCAGAGATGCTCTCAATCGAAAAGTTTCATACAACCAGATCAAAGTGGTTTTAGCAGGCATGATCAGAGACGAACTTGACAGAATATGTAAACGTGCAAGATTAAGGACCAGCAAAAAAGTTTTACATACTTAAATGTTCAATCATAAATATTTTATTTCCTTTAAACGGTTATACAGTAAGAGTAAATATATTCTTTCAGAAGCTTTTCCTTACGCATATATTTGCTTGTTCACGAGTAAACATGATCGGATCGGATCAATTTTGAAATGCAAATGCAGACATATTTCATTATTTGAATCGAACATTGTGTTGCGTAGTACTAGCGAACAGTTGCTTTTTCAGTTTCAATCGTAATTTTAAAACAACAACGACAAATAAAACAAACGATTTAAGCTGGCTAGTGCACATTTTTCAAAGAGCAATTCCCAAATCTTTCATACGAAAATAAATAACATATATAAACTTTCGCCTACCTTCTCAGTTCTCTTGTTTTTGCGAAGTATGCATCAATATTATGCAACCAAGTATTCTTGAATTAACGTCAGGTATTGTTACTGTATTATTCTTGTGAACCGAGTTTTGATTTTATGATACAAATCACCAGATAAGATTATTTTCCAGAAGAAATATAAAGATCGCTTCTTTTTGCTTCTTCCCCTCATGTTTTTCAAAAAAAAATGATTGATTGATTGCCTCGATATCATGCATGTAAATATA